TTAAGGTTTTGGAGTGGCCAAGTCAAAGTCCAGACTTAAATCCGATTGAGATGCTGTGGCATGACCTTAAACAGTCCATTCATGCTCAAAAACCCTCCAATGTGGCTGAATGAAAACAATTCTGCAAAGAAGAGTGGGCCAAAATTCCTGTGAAAGACTCATTGCCATTTATCGCAAATGCTTGATTGCAGTTGTTGCTGCAAAGGGTGGCACAACCAGTTGTTAGATTTAGGGGGCAATTACTTTTTCACATAGTGCCAGGCAGGTTTGGACAGCTTTTTTCCCTTAATAAAGAAAATCATAATGTCAAAACTGCAGTTTATATTTACTCAGGTTATCTTTGTGTAATATTAAAATGTGTTTGATGATCTGAATCTTTTAAGTGTGACAAATATGCAAACAATTAAAAAAACAGGAAGGGGGCAAAAACTTTTTCACACCACTGTATATAAAATAGGAAACACTCTTGTTGCATTCTTGAAGATCTTTACAAAAATAAATAAATAAGGCAAGGGAATGGCATTTAATGTGGGTGGTTGGGAGGGCTTTGAAAAATACTGTTCTTCAGGGCCGTCAAGATTTGAGGAAAATTTGTCAAATTATCTCCCAGATGTCTTTACCATCTACTGCTTTTTTCATCACTGGTCAAAAGGTCCCAGAGGCAAGAGAAATAAATCTGTCTGCTATCATTCGGCTAATGAAGGCTGAAGTCTTTTTCGTTCTCATTACTGTGATGCCACAAGCGCAATCTCTCACCAGGCACCGAACAATTTGCATTCAACAGTCATATCGAAGAACCTGATACCAGCGAAGCCATCCAAGTTTCAAACAAAGGTAGCAATTATATATAACATATGCATAACTTTAGTGTGTTTTGCAGTGACATGTCTTTGCATACTCGGACATTTTTCAAGCTGAAACACAAATAATGCAACGCTATTAATGACAATAACAGTCACCAATAATATGAAACTAATAAGAAAGACGATCTACAGATCTACAGACTCTCATTAAATAGAATCAACAACAGGATGTTTTTACATAGCTGAGAGGAAACTACACTTTACCGAGATGCTTTACAGTATCATTATCCAACTGCAGAAGTGCATTCATTTACTGAAGCATTGTCACATGTGGTCCAACAAATTTAATAATTTGTACCCATAACATGCACTTATTTTCTCAGCTTTCAGGTGTTGTGCGTAAAAGGTTCTGTGGTCTTGACAGGGTTTTTGAAATACCAGTGCTAAACTCCGAGTTAGTGAATTTGTTGATTGATTAATTTTATATTACTTATTTTATTCTTTCTTTTTTAAGTGCAGTGAGTACCTTCTACCTGCAGAGGTCAGGCCTCACTGCACTATGTAATGGCTGATTATGGAATAGCGTAAAGTTCAGCCAAAATGAAAATTCTGTCATTAATTATCATGTCGTTCCAAACCCGTAAGACCTTCGTTCATCTTCGGAACACAAATTAAGATATTTTGGAGGAAATGTGTGAGCTCTCTGACCCTCCATAGACAGCAACGCAACTGTAATGTTCCCAGGTCCAGAAACGTAGTAAGGACATCGGTAAAACTGTCCATGTGACATCAGTGGCTCAACTTCAGTTTTGAGCTTAATTAAGCTTAAATAAGAAAGCTTTTTTAATGGGATAGCTAAAAAGTGTGTGTGTGGGGGGGGGGGGTGAATTATATTGTCATTTACTCACCTTCATGTAAGTCCAAACCTGTATGACTGACTTTCTTCTGTGGAACATGAAAGTAGATGTGTTGAGAAGCAATGTTTTGTCCAAACAGTGGAAGTCAATGGTCACCAGAAATGTCTGATTTTTTACATTCTTCAAAATAATTATTTTGTTCCACAAAATAAAGAAAGTCTTATATGTTTGGAACGATGTGAGGGCCAGTAAATGATTTTAGGTAAACTATCCCTTTAAGTATAATATGATTTGTATTGGCATGACTTATCTTTCGATGTCCATGTGTGGATGTGGGGTCATGGGTGATGATTTTCACTTTGTATCTATAGGCCTAGTCTGAGCACACGACAGGAGAATACACATACCCCACCAAACCACAACATAGAACACATTAGCAGTGTTTTTCTTTGTACATGCAGGGAGGCATTCGCCTCAGTCTCAGGAAATGAACGGATGTGGGAGATAAAGTTTATTTTATGTTAGATTCTTATCCTTGCCCTTTAATAACACTCCCAAACAGATATCTAAGTTATGCATGTTATTCTGTCGCTATTGATTGTCATTATACAGAAAATGACCTCTGGTCGAAACAGAATAATGTGAAGTGTTTATCTTTGATACGAGCACCACACCAGATTTCCAGGTGAGGCATTTATTTCACAATGTTTTCTGTCATGGTCACGGATCTATGAATGAGTTAGTGTCTTTCCTTCTCTGTTCATTCAGGCTATTGAGCAAGATTCAATACATTGTAAACATTCAAAGTCTGACATGGGTTTAAAACCTAGAATAAATCATAAGATGCACAGGTAGTAATTTACCCTAATGCACAATTTATGATTATGATTACTGTGAGCTGTCTACTGGATATCCTTTGTTTATTGTACTTCCATCCTGTACAATTAGCATTAAAGGTATTATAAAAGCCAGTGTTATTTTATCATAGAGATAGTATTATTTATTATAATATATTTGATTGGTTTTAGTTCATTTTTATTTCAGTTATAGTTTTAGTCATTTTCGTACATCAAGTTGAACTGAATGAAAATAAGGAATGTTGCTGAAATAAAATTAGTTTTTTATATTTTATTTCAGTTAAGTTTTATTTTACTATTATTATTTTTAAAGTTTATGGTTTTAGTTTTAGTTAACTGTAATAACTAAGCTGCTCTTTTCCATATGATAAAAGTGAATGAAGACCATAGAGCTTGACAGCCTCTGGTCTCCATCCAGTTTCAGTGTGTGTAAAATAGCAGCATGAACATCCTTCAAAACATCTCTTTTTGTGTCATATAGGTTTGAAACAATATGAGTTCATGAGAGCAAATGATGATTGAATTTTCATTTTTGGAAGAGATATCCCTTAAACCTAGCATTCATGCAGTCTGTGTGTGTGTGTGTGTGTGTGTGTGTGTGTGTGTGTCTGTGTGTGTGTGTGTCTGTGGTGTTTGAGTCTGGCATAGTGTCACTGCCACAGATGAGCTGAGTTCACTGTTCAAACACTGATTTCCATATTTCCCCGTGTGACATTTCCCAAGTCGGCCGGACAGCTGAGAAGAGAAACGCCAGCAGAGATTCATGAAGAAATGAAGAGACATTCAGGTGCATTCACACAGACACTGATACACCCCCGTTCCTTCACACAAACTGTTGCTGGTGTTGTCAAAATATGTCTTTTGGGGACATTTCATACATATGACAAACAAACATTATCAAACCCATGACTGATTGCAAGCTGATCAAACAATACTGAAATTGCATTGAGGGAAAAAGCACACATGCGGTGGCACAATTTTACACTGACACTCTTTACTCACATTACTCTGATGGGCTGGGCTAAATACCATGGCAACCAGGCCCCTCCCCTGGGTGTGTGGGGAGTTTTTAAGTGGAGTGTTGGGAATGTTGTTTTTAGAGAGGCGCAGAAGGCAGGAGAGTGTCTGTGAGAGTCAGTCTAACCCTGTCGTTCAAAACCACCATTGTTGACTCCAGAATGGGTGAAGACTCCTCTCACGCCGAGCAAAGCACGGCCACCTTACCCAGGGAGGAAAGCACCCCGACACCCCCAGCTCCAGATGCTCAGGATGCTCAGGATCTCCTCATTCCCAGCTTCAGTCCCGGCTCGGTGCCCTCTTCCCCCATCCACACCCTTTCCCGCCTGGGCTCCAAGTCTCCGACCAGCCCCACGGCCCCTGGTGGCCAGATCAGCGCCATCACGGTGGTGGCTCTGCTCGACAAGCTGGTGGTGATGATCGAGTCGGTGCAGGAGAACCAGCGGAAGATGGAGAAGAAGCAGGCCGAGCTGGAGGGGGCGGTGAGGATGGTGCAGGGTGATGTGACCCGGCTCGCCAAGAACCACATGTCCACCGCCAACAGCGTGGCCAAGCTGCTGGAGCGCTCGCGCAAGACTGGCCTCAATGTGAAGGAGGTGAGGGAGCGCCTGGATAGACAGAGCAGCCAGGTGAAGCATCTGGAGGCCAACCACGCCCATCTGCTCAAGAGAAACCACTTTAAAGTGCTCATCTTTCAGGTGAGAAGAATGAGATCTTTCTACTCTTGAGGAACCTTTAACGCTTTGAAGATGAACAAATTTAAATATGTGTCTAAATGAAGTTCTTAACACCTGACAAACCTCATAAGAAAAATACATGTCAAAAATAATGTAAATATGTGGAGATTCTTGGACTTAAACATGGTAATTCAAAATGATTCATTTATCAAAGACTCTCTCTCTCTCTCTCTCTCTCTCTCTCTCTCTCTATTCTAAACTTGGTCTTTCTAAACAAAAAATAGACTATAAAGAACTATAAAACAGTTGAATGGTAGTGTCTTATTAAGCAGCACAACTGTTTTCAACATTGATAATAATAAGAAATGATTCTTAAGCAGCAAATTAGTATATTATAATGATTTCTGAAGGATCATGTGACACTGATGACTGGAGTAAGGGCTGCTGAAAATTCAGTTTTGCCAACCCAGGAATAAATTACATAGAAATTAAATAGAAAGACATTACACAAACATATACATACATATGAGAAATATGTCTGAATGAGGTTTTTCTATAGACCTGAGAAAACTTAAATGCTTAAAACTTAACTATAGCGAACAAATCGTTTCAATAGTTTGTCATTTTTTCTCTGATTCAACAATTTTGCATTTAATTTTTCTTTTTTTTTTTGGAAAATAAATGCACTGTCTTAAATATTTGCAAAATTATGTACAAAATAAGTTAGATTTATTGGGTTTTTAAGGAATTTAAGTGATGTTTGACAGGACACGTGTGCAGTATCTTGAATGAAACTAAAGTGCATGGGAATTCTTCATGTGAAAGCAGCTGGGATTAAAAATTTGGGCAGATTGCAGTAGAATGTGTGTGTGTGTGTGTGTGTGTGTGTGTCAGAACAACAGAAATTGGGGTTGGTTGTAACACTGTTAGAAAACATGGACATCAGTTTACAGTGTTAAACAATCAGTTTATGTGTTAAACAAATGTTACATATTTAAAAATGAAGAGGACCTGCCAATTCTTTTTTTTGTTTATTATTATTATAATGAATGAATGAATGAATGAATATCTTGTAAATCAGCTTGTACATCCACATTCCTTTACTGTGACCCCTCTAATAATACAAAGATATTTAACATTAATAAGCATAAAATTAGTGATATCCCATACTTATTAGAGTCCACATTTTGGAAACAAGTATAGTTTAATGCCTTGAAACGTCCTGAGGTGTGTCTTAAAATGGTGAAAAGGGGATTAAAAGTGGTGCATTACTTCAAAAAATGATGATCAGTTGGTTAAAAATATACAGATATATACAGATACACAACTTTTTTTAACCTAAAAATAAAGTATGCTGGAAAAGTTCATGTTCTTGCCCTTTTGTCAATGACGCCTAAACAGATTCAAAGATTGCAGTAGAATGTGTGTGTGTGTGTGTGTGTGTGTGTGTGTGTCTAAGAATGTGTATTCTTGCAGTATGCATGTAAAACGAGAGATTCTATGGCTAAGGTCCCCGCAAACTCTCACATTTTTCATAATTCCTTACCATATAGCTCAAAGATTACTATGTTTACAATAGGCTTGTTTGATTAAAAGTCTCTCCTTACAAATAAATGTAAAACCAACTGAGATTGTAAAGTCAGGTCTTCTGGCTAAACCAGCTTTGTGACCTGTGCTTTAGTTTGCACTAATCTTAGGTGAGGTGAGGTGTTTTGTATGTTCAGGCAATGCAATTTTACACACTTAGGAAACGCTATTATACTTTATGCCGGTTGGTTAATGTGAAGGGTGCGTCGTGTTGATTTAAGCAGCTGCATCAGGCTCGTGCTTTTAGAAGAGTATTCTTATCTGATTGCCCCGGAGCGAGCCACATGCAGCTTTACACGCTGGGACAGTGATCTTTGACTTGTAGAAGCAGGTAGAGGCATTTCTTTGGGGTGTTACGAGTTCTGCTTTTCAAAATGATTTCTGGGAATCAGTTTTCCTGAGGCAAATGTTATTCAATAGCAGAATGAGCTAAATGTCAAAGCGAGCGTCAATAGATATGAAAACACAGACTTTTATCTAGCTCCTTTGAGACTCATATCCTAATCCCTCATGTCAACGCCTGATCATTCATGAAGGCCTTACCTAGCATAAAATGTCTCAAGTGGATCCATTTCCCATAAGAAGATTTCTTATTTCTTCATCAAAGTAACAGGCTGAGGTTAACAGTTTCTAAGACTCATCTTAAGCATGCTAATTCAAAATGATTTACTTTATAAACTTTTTCAGGAAATTGCATTTAATAAAGTCTTTTAACAAAAGCACTCCATCATAGTAGAGAGAGTTGATTATCGGGGCGATGACTCTTGACTAATCCAGCTGTCAGAGAGGAAGGCCATGGGGCTGAACAGCGCAGCTAATGGCTGATCCCAAGTCTTAACCGTTCCCTTTGAGATCTAGCAGCAGGTGATTTTCTAAAGTGATAATCAGCCTGTATGCAGCCTGTTAAAACACTTTGGCATGAGTGCAGGCTTGCAGAAAGTTTGCTGCAGGAGATAATAATATCTAATTTGGGAATGTGTGCTGCAAGATGAAAAGAAAAGCTTTGCTATGCACACACATACACACACTAGCACTCCTGCTGTGTATTGTGAATCTACTGAAATCCACTCTTTTAAGAAATTAATGAATACATTTTGTCAGCAAGGACACATTAAATTGATGGAAAATTGCAGTTAAGACATTAAAAATGTAACAAAGGATTTCTTTTAAACTTCTAAAAATCCTAAAATGTATCACAGTTTGCATCAAATATTAAGCAGTACAATGGTTTTCAAAATTTAGAATAATAATAATAACATATTCAAACAGAAAACAGCAAAATTGTAATATTTCACTCTATATACTGTATTTTAATCAAATAAATACAGCTTTGTGAGCGTAAAACTACTTTGAAAAAAACATTACAAATCTCACTGACCCCAAACCATTGAACAGTAGTGTATATATGCATATGTTTGCAATAGAGTACACACACACAATTAGTAAGTCTCAGGAAGGGGTGTGTGTGTTAATAGATATTGTCAGGCATGGAACCAAGTTTCCGCCTCAGAGTAAAACTAAATATTAAAAAAGGATAAATGTGACTTTTTATCTCATAATTGCAATTGCTTTTTGTTTCATGTAATGCAACTTTGTTTCCTCTAATTGTGTCTTTGTATCTCACAATGAGACTTTCTTATTTTAAACTTTATCTCACAGTTACCCTTTTATTATTAAAGTCTTGCATCGTCAGTTGCTTTAGTTCTTATACAATATTTTGGTCGATACGCACATTCCCAAGTGGTAAAGTGCCTCAAGGAGTGACAGAACAGCACAGGTATGTACTTTCCCTTCTTGCGCTGGGACTTTGACATATGTTTGGCATTATAGCTGCAGGTGATGTTTCACATTTTTTGCACATCAATGCTATATGCCAATGATCTTTAATTCACTGGCTCTTTTGAGTCAAGACTCTTTTCTTTTCTCTTTTTGTTCCTGGAAAGTGATGTGCATGTCCAATTACCATAGGCCATTAAAACAATGGTGTATTATTCTATGGAACGACACTCTATTGAAAGTAAACACAGAATGCAAACACAAGCGAGAGCCATCGCAAATCCATTCGCTCTCAGGAGTTTGTTTTGGAAGAGTATTATTGCTCTTTGATTGCGCATTTGCTTGTTTTGTTTCATTGTTTGGCATCTGACGATGCTCACCCGCCTGTGTGGTAATTATAAACTTTCTGTGCACCGTGCAAAGGCATTTGGAGATGGAAGGTGTGGTTTGAACACACAAGGGCCCTCTGAAAGAAAGAAAAAAAAATGCAGTAAGCACACTGAGTTTGGCACTGAAAATGTATGTGTGTGGGAGAGAGACAGTTTAGTCAACTGCCTTGTTTCCCTTAACAAGCACTAATGATCTGCAGTAATTACTGCCCATTTAGGCCTCTATTTGTTTATGTTTAATGCATCACTGCTCTTTCTGTGTTCTCAAAAATACATCAGTGTTGATTCTTGAAAAATGTGGTTCTACGTGCTGAGGCTCTTCACAGCAGTAACTCTGGCCTTTTTGTGTTTGTGGTTGCCAGTGTTTGTGAAAAGATCATTAAATGTGTTCACAGCAATAATCTAGACAACTGCTCATAGTTTATGCTGTTTTTGCTAATCTAGATTGGTTATGAATGCATGTTTTCCATGAAGCCTCGCAGACTATGCTTTCTATACTTATAAGGGAAAACATGCATCTTAAACAGCTTCACCATGACTTGTGAAGCTTGGCAAGCTGCATGACTGATGGCAAACATGAGGCTTTTATGGATAGTCATAAAACATATTTTATTGCTTTTATGTTTTTGAAGGAAGGAACGTTTTGAGATGTTTCTGCAGTGGGCGTTCACAAAAACATCTGACAACTGTCATTTTTTACATCTTTGTAGTCACTCCGATTCCCCTCATTAGTTCACCCTCTGAAATCCTGTTGAATGCTGTCAAGGTTTATTTTGGCCCAGAGATGCCATGGAACGCCTTCATTAAGATGATGTAAGTCTGCTGAGATCCAAATAATGCCACGTATGATTGACCAGTCATCGGCATGTGTTTAATTGTGCATTTTCGCATAAGGTAGATGTTTAATCCTCAAGATCAGGATCTTCAATGAAAGGTAAAAACAAATATGGGCATGCAAATGTGAATTGAGGGAAAGTGACAATCTTTCGGGGTAGGAGAATGAAAAACAACCCGATATCTAGTGTTTACAGGCCCTCCCGTTACGAGGAAAAGCTTTTTATAATAACGGCGCATATTCTGATTATCAAATCAAAGTCAGTCTGATAATTCTGCACAATAACACTGGGTTATACAACAAAACACATTCTTTCATCAGTCAAAAGCATAATTTCCTTAAAGATTTGTTTCCATTTCATGCAGTGCATGCACGTAGTTCAGTTTGCTCAACAACAAAGAGCATTCATGTAAATTTGATTGTGTTGCTTTGAT